ATTTACATATCTGACTGATCTTGCTGATGTTAATAGGACAACTTGCATGCTTAAGTGCTTTGCTGAATTAGAAGTTAATGAGTTCAAATGCTAGATAAACTTAGTTTTCAGGAAGCTGCAAGGACTGGCAGGGCGGATTCCTATAATTAGATGTGTCTTTTTGCTGCTCTGTGGAAGCCCTTTTTTCTTGTATTCTTACAACCAGTCTGCAAACTCCAGCTAGGAAGCAGCTTTCAAAGAACAGTCTTATTTTGGATGTAAAATGAAGAAAACCCCAGGTAATTTATTTGTGTATCCTTTATTGCATCTGTCATAACCAGCACAGTTTCTCTGCAGTTTAAAGGTAGTGGAGGATCTCTAGGAAATAATGTGAAAACTTTAAGAACAGGTTACAGCAGCAACATCATTTGCAGGGAGATCCCCTGAGCTAGTATTCTTCATCCACGGTACTGGCTTTAAAGTGCTATAGGTAGGCTGGACTGAGCTGGCAGGGAGGCTGCTCTCTTTGGAGGATGATCACACGGCACAAAGTGAGGCACAGGCCTAAGCTGGTGCTGAATCGGGGCCTCAATAATGAAACACAAAGGCTGACAAGTGTCAAAAAAAGTTGGAAGGGTATTTATCCAGCAGTCGCAAAGGCTCAGACAATCCAAAAAGCTGATGGGACTGTTCCTGCTTTTCAGTATTCATTTGCGGGTGTGCAGGTTGCTTCATTATAATAATAATAATAATAATAACAATCATCATCCTCCTCTGCCCCAGTAAGCTCGCAGTTAGGGGTGCCAACCTAAACCAGCCAGACCCCTCTCACCATGAGGAGTACGAGTTAGGACAAGCCTTAGGGACCACGCAGAAGGAGCTGTGAGCTCGAGGGGGGGCAGGTGCAGAAAATGGGCAGAAGGGTGTTGCTGCAGTGGAGGTACAGAGGGCACTCGTCTTTTTGGGAGCATTCAAGAGACCACTTGTCCATTTAAGCACTGGTTGGATCGTTTGTGTTCATTGTCTGTACTCAGGAGGTCAGAGCACAGCCCAGCGTTGCTGCCAGCTCTGGGAGTTACCCCCTTCCAGCAGCTCATTTCCACCTAACAGCATTGCAGAGAAGAGGATGAGGAGATGGGCATTTCTGTCACTTCAGTTTGCTTCAAATTGTAACCTACACAGGGCCCCAATTTTATACTCCCTTTTGCCGGTTTCAATCAGGAATAGCTACTGAAGTCAGCAAAGCTGCAAAACGGCCAAGAAGAGGGGATGGAGATCGTTCTGTTTGCTGTGGTTTGTAATAAACACCAGTAGCTCTCCCAGGAAACCTGTCGTGGTGTGAGATGAATGTACCTTGTTTGCATTGAAACAGTGGGACCCTGAGCTCCGATGGCACTGCTCTGGGGCAGCCAGTGATAAATGAACACTGATCACTGCACTGACTGTGGAGTCAGTGGGGTTTTTATTACTGTACATCCAACAGCAATTTGGTTAGAACTTCTGGAAGACTTTACTGCTGGGAATTTTTTTCTCAGTGACAAAATGGAAAGGAAAGATGAAAAAGGAGTGACGGTGGGGAATGGAGGGAAGGCAAATCTTCTTTCCCACCCAACCCAAATCAGAAAACTGGAAAACGAAAACAGAACAAACAACCAAAATTGCAAAAAACCCAACAATGCTAAAAATTTAGAAAAATTTCTCTGTAAGAATAATTATTCCTTTTCTAAATCTACACTTAGATTAGTACTTTGTCCTTTAGACAAGTTCTTTTGGGTTTTGACCAGCTCTCATTTCAACTTGTTTCAGAGACACAACTGACACATGCATGGGAGGCTGTCAGTGCAGCAAATGCTCCACTAAAAACTGTATCTGTGATTTATCATCTGACAGTGTTCGCTCCCTTCTGGGGATACTGCTAAGGTAGCCCTGACTGGGGTGGTCTCACTACTGCAGGAGGCTCGAGGAGTGGGATGAACACAACTCCATTTCCAGAAGCCTTTGCGTGGGCATCCTGATGGCAGCTTGTTGGATGGAGAGGGGGTGAACGTTGCTGCAGACGTGGGATCTGTGCTCAGGCTTATTTATTTAGACTGTAGAGGACTGAACCAGAGGTAGCTTTTTCCTTCTAAATGTGCACCCTGTGCCCTCAGCAAAATTGCATTTTTATCGTTACTGCCACAATATTGAATGCTACCCCCACACTGCAGGTTTTCCGTTCTCTCTTTGTCCTTTGTCATTTTATTTCTGTGTTCTCCTTTAAAGATCAGACCTTACTTACTGACTGCCTTGTCTTTCTTCTGCTGTGTAATTCCACCAGGTGTCTGACAAAGATATTTCTGAGAGCGGATATTTAGCTTTTGCAATGCCAAAAGGCATTTAAGCAAAGGCACTTCTTACTTCCTCTGCTAAAGCTTTTTGATACCTCTGCGAATTTCTCTGCAGAACACTGACCAGCAGGATGACTACGGCCCTGCACACACACGTTTCACTGCTGGCACAGTCAGCAAATTGTGTTTCAAGTGGCTTCTGAGCTGGCTGGGGACTGAGCTTACTTATTTATTCAGAGACGTGATTGATACACATTGCCACTGGACTTGAACCTGAAGGCTCGTGAAGGGCTGTGTGGGTCTGTTTTTAGTTTCATGCTGTATCCCTGTAGACAGCGTAATTCAGACTTTGCTGCTTGTAGGATATTGATTGAATGTAAAAACAGTTAAAAAATACCTGTAAGAAAACAGATGTTAACAACAAAGAATGAAAGAAAATTAAATTTTATCTAGAAAAAAGTAAGGCTTTTAATTGTTTCCCCCCCTATATTCTGGCTTCATGGTCCTTCATTAAGACCTAATGTTAGAGTTCATGGAAGAACCCTCATGTGCATTTAAAAATTTTGTCTGCAACTAAGATTTATGTCAAGCAGGAAGCATGAATTTTGGAGAATTGGATATTGTGACTGGTAGGTTTGAAAACAGAATGAGTGCAATTTCTGAACACTGGTTGGCAGGTGTTGATGGCTGACAGTCTGTAATTTACTGTACTGGGTTTACAAAAGCCCAGTGAGAAGACTGGAAAGCTCGGGGCCAGCTGCGTGGAGTTCTGAGTGCACTTGCCTCCTTTTGAGTGAGAAAATGACATTATTGCTTGTTCCTAACTCAGAGCGAACCTGGGCCAGTTTGTCTGGGCTGGAGAGGGAGCTTTGCTTTCTTTATTTGGTCCGTAGTGCGCTGGGCTGCATTTCAGAGTGTAGTGGGGTTTGATTCAGTAGTAGGTTCAGAGTAGGGTTAAGAGTTCATCCCAAACCTGCCAAATCGAGCTTGTCCCCCGGTGTCATTTCCCATTATCTATGTTGTGTCATCAGAAGTCCTGAGTTCCAAAATGCTAATATAAATATATTTGTGTGGCTTTTTGTCCCCTCTTCTTCCCAAGTCTTAATGTTGCAAAAGCTACTGTAATAAATGTTCTTGAGAGGGATTTGCTGAAGGACGTAAATATTCATCAGCCTTTAATGATTTGCATTTGAATCCAGAAAATTGGCTTATGACTCCTCACTGATTTTCTCTTACTCTGATTTTCACAAGGCATTAAGTGCAGGAGGATTAAATACCTGGGTTTTCTCTGGTCCAAACCAGACTTTGGTATCTTCATTTGGAAATAGGTTCTTCATTAGCTGGTTACTCAACCTTGTGCGTCACTTAATCTTTTTCAATCCTTCAAGACTTTTTGTTTCTAACGAAGAGCTTTAGGATCACTCTTGTCACTCCCGTATGAGCCAGTCACCGCTCCTGGAGTATTTAATTTTCACCTTGGCAAGGCTGACGGCTGCCTAGTCCTGCAGTTCAGAACGGGAAGCCAAAAAGTGGAAGTGTTGGCCCTGGGATCGAGAGCTTCAATGTTCTTTCTATCCTTTTGTGTTTAACCTATCCAAACCTTGCGAACCACACCAAACTGTTGGATGCTTTGTGGACCTTGTTCCCGGGTTGGGAATCCTGTGCAGGAGCACAGCAGCAGTGTGTGCTCACCACCACAGCCCCCATCTCGAGGGATGGGCTCCAGCTCTTGGCCAGCGCTGAAAACAGGGTTCTGTCTTCTCTTGCATTTCCCAGCTAGAGTAAGGTAGCGTGGCTGCGCTGGCTTGCTCTCACGACGCGATATGGCTGCAAAGGCTCATGGATGGGTAGTCTTTTAAGATTGTTGTGCATAATGGGATGGATACGCTCACTCCTCTCAAGGGCTGTTTGTGGAGAAACTTTCACAGGATGCTGCAGCAGCTGGAAAATTTCTCCACAGCTGTTGGTTTCAGAGTACAGCCCGATGCTCGTCCCCTCTGGCAGCAGTTGGCATTAGGTGTTACCTTTTCTATATTTGCAGTGGGTGCCTCTTACCCAAATTATTTAGGGTTGTTCTAGGTTACAAATAAATTCAATGTGGATTGACAGTGCAGTTTTGGTAATTTGACCGTACCCTTTTAAAAGCCACTTACAGCTTCTCCATTGGCGTAAGACGCCTCTTTTTATAGGATTAGTAGGGCCTGGATTAGTCAGCAAATGACACTGAGATCTTCTGGGAAAAACCCAAGGTGATAGCATGAGATTAATATTGATAATCTGGAGCCTGAATAAATGAGATGCCAAATGGCCTAAATTTAAATTGGCTTCAGTGGAACTTGTTAGGACGGGGTTTTTAATAAGTGAGGCTCTTCTATAGGATGGGCTGTTATTCTGCATGTTGTGCCTGTTGAATACGATATAAAAATTACCTGCCTGGTCCTAAACCAAAGTGGGTGTCAGACATTTTGCTGTCAGCTATTTTAAGGCTCAGTGTGATAAGCTCACTGTCCCAAGTCTGTATCTGCCTGACTATTTATCTGTCTCTCTTAGTTCCTGAGGGTGTGATGAGTTTGTGTTAATTTGTGGTTCTGAGGTACTTGTGTAGGTCCAGGGGTTGGTTTATATAAAAAAGCTTAGATAACAAGAAAAGTGTATGCTGTGTGCAGAAACCTTAGAAGTGTTGCTGTTTTCCAGGTAATTGTGAAAACAAGAACAGAGTATCAGCCTGACCAGAAGAACAAAGGAAAACTCAGAGTGCCCAAAATTGCTGAATTCACAGTCAGTTTCACTGATGGTGTAACAGAAAGACTAAAGGTAAGAAATGGTTATTCTGCTGCCTTCTGGTGCAAATGCCATTCATTTTAAAATAACTGAATCAAAGTGACAGTAAAGACATAACAAATTGAACACTCCACGCATCACTAGGGTCAAAGAGTTTTATCTGCATGCGTATTAAACTTTTTTTTTTTTTAGGACAGGTGTGAAAATACCTTCAGAACTAGATATAAAGTAGGAAATGTTTTCCTTTTCCTAAGAAAAGTTACGAAAATATTTTCCAGCCCAAATTGAAAGTAAAACAAGTTTGAGTCTTTTTTCTTCTCAAGCATTTGTGTTTAAAAAGAATTTAAAAATCACATTGAAGATTGATTGAAACAGTTTGATTCACCTTTTAAAAATTCTTTTGTCTAGTATTCAAACAACCCTTTTCATATTTAAAATATTTTATTAAAAATTATGTTATTATGGATTAAAAACCATTTCAAGCTGGATTAAAAAAGAGATATTAGGCAAGTATCCAAGCATATCCTGTCGTGTAAGCAGTTTTGGTTCACAGGAATTGAAATTTTCTGATGAAAAATGTTTCCTTCAGAAATTTTCAACAGGCTTTACTCAGACATGGAAAGAAACTCATGAATTATTGAGTGCCCTCAGTTCCTGTTGACTGCAGCGTATTAGAATGGCTCAATTCCTCCTAAAATTTGACTCCAAGTGTGTAGCTGCTAGTGTTTTCACCCTTTTCATTGCGAAGATACAGTGCTTTTCCTAAACCACAGAGGATGAGAGTGATAAAAATGTGAGATCTGATTTCACATTTCCAAAGTCAGAAGAAATATCAATGACTTGAGTAGAAAACATAGAGAGTAGGCAGTGCCTAGCTATAGTCCTGCTCCTTGAAAAGCTAGCATTAGACTTATGAATTTTTGTGAAAGAGTATCATCCTCGACAATTAACAGGAATTGACCCAAGGAACTGAATGGTCTTTTATTTGACCCAGTTGTTCTTCATTTTGCAAGAAATAAAAAAGTTGTTGTAATTATTTTCTAATAATTTAGAAGAAAACTATCACTTTTAAAATTGGAATGTGATCCAGGAAAAATTGTTACCATTCATCCTTGATAAGCTTCAAGATAAGGCTTGTTCAACTTATTGAAAGGAGAAATGTTTAGCTACTCTTTTCTGAAGCACTACAGAATAGCACTGATTCTGTTTTTTTCTAGAAATTCACTAATGTGTATTTCACAAGGACAATTCTGTTACTTCCATCCAGGATATTTAAAGCCATAATTTATTCCTAGGAGGTCTGTGAATAAATTTTTATAACTTCTTGGGTTTTTTTTCAGTGAACATCACATGTTTTGGTATAAATTACTTACCAGTGGCTTACACGCTGTTGATTTTGACTGTATTCCTCACTGATCTCATTGCGTGCGTAGTACCCACTTACCGCCAGTAATGACTCTCCGTTGGTACCACTTGTAAAGAGCGAATTATCCGCAGTTAAATCCCCAGTCTTGGAAACCCAGCAGACACTTTCCAGTGTGAGCAACGTACAAATCAGAACCAGACACAATGTGCCTGAGAAACAACAGTAAATGCGAGTCTCCTGGCAGTGATGTGTTGGCTTGTGACCCGCAATAAATGGCATTGTTGATACTGTAAGTAATGGTGCTTCACTTCACTGGATCCTGCAGCCCTGAACAGTGTTAAGGTCAGTGTAAGACCAAGTTTTAATCCCATCAAAAGATCTGGCCTTGTTATTTAAAAAAACGATCAAGAACATCTCATCCTTACGCACTGTGTGTGCTGGAGACCCATAAGTTAGACATACAGCTCATCCACTGCTATGGGTAAATCTCATTTCACCTACTCCTTCTACAGAGTATCTTATTTTTTCCATTCTTCAGATGCCCAACTTGCTGTTGCGTTCAAACCTCTCTTTTCAATGCATTTTCCTGCTCCCCTTCCTGTTTTGGGTGCAGATCTCCCATCGCTCTCACCCGGGCACACACGAGGACCGCGCGGCAGCAGGCGCGGGGGGCCGGGGGCTCCAGCTGCGTGCACAGCACTGGCAGAGGTTTAAGCTGCCTTCCCCTTTGCTGCACGGTGGGGGTGGCTGTGGGAGCTGTGCCTCTTCCTATGCAGCCTGGCAGCACAACAGTCTCCTTTTAAAGCTGTTTCCTTTCCCTAAAGTCCATGTGATTTCCATTCTCTGCTCTTCAGTGTCAACTTATTAACCACTCAGCCTCTCGTCTAATACTGGATAAGACTATAAGCCTCTCCCTGCCTGCTTTTCATAAGGCTTCTGTGTATCGTATTAAGTTTGTAGTATTATTTCCTGACGAAAATGAGCTGAGATAACAGGTAAAATTTCATTACCTTTTGTACTTTTTTTTTTATTTTATTGCAACACATTTTCATACCGGTTCATATTTTTAGTGAAGTTATTACAAATACTGCCCTCTGGTTATAAGCAGGCCTGTTATCTGGTACTGATGAAATCATTTTACATTTGTTTTTTTTTGTAAGAGGAAATCATAGTAAATACTTAACTTTTATTATCTCAGTTTGGCTACATCTTTAAAAGCTTAAAGAAAGATAATATAAATGAGATCATCGTATTTTCTTTTACTGGCTCGTAGCCTTCCAGTATGCAGTGCTTTGGAAATATCATCCACATCTTACTGCTAACACACTGATTAAAATTAAAATATTCATGTATACTTGAGCCAGGCTGCTGGTAGCTATACACTGGCAGAAGCAAGGAAATCGTCCCATTCATTTCTACAAGAGAAATGATGGAAGGAAAGGCAAAAAGTCCATTCATGAGTAGATGGTCCAATGGTTTAGTGCACTCCAAATGTGTGAGATCTATATGGGAAATGCATGTACACCTAGTATGAGTCCACAGCAATCCTTGAATTGGAGGATTTTCATAGCGAGCAATTTTGCTACTATGACTCTACTAATCTGCGTATAAGGATTGATACATCTCAGTATATGGTACCTGTACGCTGGGGAAGAGACAGGACAGTAAGAGGGGGCAAAGAAATAACTGAGAGGTCCTCTCCTGTCTGTTATTGCACTACTTTAACATCCTCGAGAATACAGTGAGATGTCCTGTATTTTATTTTTCACCCAAATGGTAGAATTATCATCAATTCACAGAGAAATATGGCAAAAGGAATCTCTATTGTTACTAAGTATTCATGCAAAAATGCTGCTGGGACTCCATGTTTGTGACTGTGCTCCATACCCACTAATAATGGCTCTGGAAGGGTTTTTGTCATTCCTGTTTCAATTAATGAAGTGCATTTGTTTCCTCTACTTCTGGTCACTTGGTATGAGAATGTTGTCAGGGAAAAAGGAAATTCTTCCAATGTTCTTTGTTTTTTTCCTGACTCATGTAGCTGCGTTATACACAAGAGCAGGATCTCTGGGGTAAATTTTGGGACCATATGAACATGGCAGTCAGATCCACAGATGCCCTTTTTTCTGCCTTTTGGGTATCTTTTATTGAATAGGCTAATGAATTATTAGACAACTTTCTCGCATGAGCAAGCCAAAGCCAGAATCTCAGCTTATGCATGCATAGTTTTCATCCATCCAGAATAGCACAGATCTGAGCTCTTTAATTATTGTAAAGAAGAGACTGTCCCTAGGCAACGGTTCTTATTTCACTCTACCTCTTCCAGGAATTTTAGATAGCTTCTGCAACTTGTCACATCTCCTAATAGATGAGATTATGATTCTGTATAGCTCAGCACACAGTGTCCTGGAAGTTTGACCAATTAGGCTTATTCTTCAGCTAGATGAGTCACCCCATGCATATTTTATAACAAATGTTTAAATAGTTGTGTGTAGATGAGTTACAAGAAAATGATGTTAAAATAGTGTTATGGTTGAGCCATCCATACATAAAAGGAATTTCTTCCATTGTTTTACTCCTCCACAGAGAAGCAATGACAACATTTCTTCTAAGCTGACTGGCAGTGATTTATAGACCTTGCCTCCTCCACGTTGTTTATGCCTTTTGAGTGTGTCCCTCTAGGAAGTGTATGAACTGCAAAGATCTTACTTTGCAGTAACGATGTATACCAAGGTTTCTCAGTCTGGAGGGGAGGAGTGTCTGGTGTTTGCCTTCTGTTTTGCATGCTTTGAAGGTAGTGTATCTTACCATGCTTTGCTATCCAGTGATGACACTGAGGTGCTCGAGAAAAAATCTGCAACTGTAATGACTCTGTATCATAGAATCATGCTCCTTTGTGGGACAGCAGATCTAACCCATTGCATTTGAGATAGGGCTTACTGCTCCTTTTTGCCAGCGATATCCTATGTTACAGCTTTTAAGAACAATCTCTTATATGCAAGTATCTTCGCTCTCATGTGTTTCTGCCCTTATTTTTTTCTATCAATACTAAAATGAGATCCAATGCTCTTTTGCTTTTCAAGCAGATTATCCATTCAATGAAAAGTCTTGTTACTTCTTGAGGACAGGGTTTCCAGTTACTCCTTTTGTCTTCCAACCAGTCCAGATAACACAGAAATCAACCAGAAGCATTTGTAAGGTGAAGAGTGGGTTTCTATCCGCTTTCTTCACTGCCACTTAGCTGGAGCTTGTGTTCAAGACATCAGCACCCTGCTTAAGAAGAAACAAGCTGGAGAATAGTTGGATGAAACAGCTGGAGAATAGACGGATTTTGTGCTTGATCCAGTCAGACTCAGTGAGTGTAGGTAGACCTGTGCTAGCCCTGAGTTTGCCCAGATTTTTCTGTCTCTGAATAGCACCAGGAAAGGTGCTGGAGTGGCCTTTCAGTGTAGACTTACAACATGTAACTGCCTGTCACTTACTGGTTTTGCGCAAATTGCCCTCTTTGTTGCACAAGTAAGTTCATGTGCAACGAGTTTGACCTGTTATCACTAAATGCCGTAGAGCTATTCATTACTGCTTTTTCAGGGAGACAATGATTTAATAACTATTAGCTGGGTGATAGTTACCT